ATCGTCCGAACCAAGCGATATATTTAGAAGCTAAAACAAGCCGTTAGACGAACGCTTAGCTAGCTAGTGATCGTGCACGTGACACGACGGAGTACCAAATGGTGGGGATGCTTGACCGGAAGCCTTCAGCTAAAAAAGTCGACTTAAACAGTGGTGGTCAGCATCCAATGAGTGATTGCTGTGGTCAATAATTTTGGGGAATTATTTACCGCTACAATAACTATTTTTTTTAATTGTAAAACTTCATCAGCTACCTTTTCCTGCCTTTTCTTTTTTTACGCCCAGTTAATCCACATTTATTAGGCACAGTACTATTAATTTCTCTTTTTGACGACTAATGGGTGGAAGTATCAACTCCATTGACATCAATGACGCGGTCTTAAGATAACGCATATAACAGACCACAAACGACGGATCCCGTACCACTCCGCTTAAATCGACCCGAATTTCCAAAGTAAAATGACAGGAAACGATGCCCGGAATTTTACGGAAGATCGGATTCCTTCCCCTTGCAGCCAGGAAGCGAGCACAAAGAAACCAATCTGGTTCACACCAGTCGTAATTAACCGTGCGATAGGACAGGTCACGCGCGCTCCTTGAATAAGACGTGCTTTTCCTCTCTAACCGGAAATATCCAATTTTGTGAATTATTCGTTTGGGAAACCTGATCATCCTACCCGGCGAATTTTATTCAACCATTTCTTCCTCACCGAGCCTGTGTGTGGTACTTCCCGCTGTCTCGAACTACTGCCAAAGCTTCAGGTGCTACTTCTGTAGCAACATCCTCCTCACTCTTTCAAATAAACAGGACTTGTGGGTCTGTCACGTGTTTGCTGTGAAGCCAAATAACCCGAAAGTTGCAGGTAAAGTCAAAAGCTTTTACTTAAATACTTTATCCTTCTTTTCTGTGCTCTCTATTGTCTTTTGCTGTAAGTCTATTGGACAAAATAATAGTCTCTTATTATTTAATCACCAGTATTAATTTAGGAGTAAAATGACAATAGATTCTCACCCTAAAATAAGTAGTGGGACATCATACTCTGTAGTCACCAGGGCGTCAGCCAAACTGGGCAAACAGGTGAAGCTGATGGACGGTCTTGAAGACCAGGGCTGATATTCCCAGCTCGTACAAATTACCTATGTCGCCACAGTCCTACAGTGAGGCTGTGCAAAGTCAGCCAAGTGGATGTGGCTCCACCCCTGTTAACATGACTAGGTTAACAGATCCGAGTGGGAAAATTGCACTAAGTGAGAACTGCATAACACCCATCCCCATGGTAGACCATGAAACAAATAGGAAGGCCAAAAAGAAACGTTCACGACGTCGCAAGACGACAAGAACGCTCGGGTGTTTCTGCAGCACTTCTCGCATGGCTGACAGATTACTTAGGCAAGAGAGAATTCTGCACCAAAGTCAACCGCATCCGATCATCCTGGCACACCTCGGCATCAGGGGTTCCTCAGGGTTCTATCCTAGGGCCGTTGATGTTTTTGATTTTTATCAACGACCTACCCTCCCAACTAAACTGCTCTGCGCTTCTTTACGCTGACGACGTAAAGATTTGGAGAGCAATTAACTCATCGGAAGACTCAGACAGATTGCAGGCTGACCTGCAAACTCTGGGAAACTGGGCTCTAGCTAACGGAATGCCTTTCAACCTAAAGAAGTGCAAAGTAGTGCAACTTCATTCGGGCAGGTCACAGAGTTTAGATTACACCCTTGGTGGCCAGAACTTGAGTTGTGTTCAATCAGAGCGAGACCTAGGCCTTATTCTAACAGAAAAGCTGGACACCAGTAGAAATTACTCGAGGGACGTCGCCAATGCCTACGCAACTTTACACTTTATGCATAGGCAGCTGGGAGCTCTCACTCCGGAACTGTTCTTAAGGTTATATAAGGCATATGTGAGGCCACACCTTGAGGTGCATAATATCATTGCACCTCCACTACTCAAAAGGGATGCTAACATTCTAGAAAGTGTCCAGAGACGAGCGACAAAATGGGTGATTGGCCTCCGCAACAAATCATATGAGGAAAGACTAAAGAAATTAGGTCTTTCCACACTTAGTTACCGAAGGCACAGGGGAGACCTCATCACCGTCTACCAAATCCTAAATGACCAGGCCCACCCAAATAAAAGCATCCTGCCATTAAGTGACTATAGGCTTCCACGAGGTAACCCGCTAAGGATAGCACACCAGAGACCAAAGACTCGAGTGCGACCACATTTCTTTTCGCTTCGTGTTTGCCGTCTCTGGAACGCTTTACCGGCGGCCGTGACTACAGCGGCATCTCTGGAGATTTTTAAGCGGAAGCTAGACAATCATGCAGAAATGCAGGGTTTGTGTCTCAATGGCTTATCCCCATAAAACTTGAAACCACACTGTCAATGGATAAACGTACAAACTAAATCCCCGCGACCTATTCTGCCTTCTCTCACTCTATCTTTTCCTTAGGTCACCTTTATTATTCCACTTATCTCAACCTATATTATCTACACTACAACCCATTGTTTTTATTCTTATTCTTATTACTACTATTCTGCTTTTTATGACTACACCGAATGACCAACGGGAGTTAGGTCAAACTCCATTCACGGCAGAAATACAGTCCTAACATACTGCATACTACAAACCACATCTCGACCAATCCCCGCACCACTCCTCCTGGAGTCTACCAGAGCTAAAGCAGTCGAGTGGCGGGACTTACTACGCAGAAGCTCACCGAAGATCTGGAACCTCTACCTCACAATCAAGAAGCGAACTCAAAGAAATCACTGGTTTATACTAGCTCGTAACAGGATATTGGATATTGGACATAGGATTCGCGCCAACTATTATTAGGTTCGCTACAGTTATACTTTTTTTTTTTTGATTTACAGCTTGATTCCACACTGTATTTTTTGGTACAAGTATGGGATTTTCAGCATGGATATCGGTAGCCCAAATTTTACAGGCCGACCTTAGATATCAGGTGTGCGTCGGCGTGGGCTCGAACCCCGGACCATGTGCATGGTCGGCGAGAGTCCTAACCACTGTGCCACCGACGCATTCTGGTAACATGTTTTATTTTGGGTGTTTTAAGTATTGGGAGATTACTTACAATTTCAAAAGACTGTTGTATTGAATAGGTAGCTTGATCTCACTAAGCGGGCGTAGTTTGTTGTGTATAGTTACGCTGTTGGAATACATCGACAGCCGTTGATAAACAATGTCTAGACATTGTTGAATAGTATCAGGGACTTAACAGCTGTTAGATCCCCGCTACTGTTCAACATAAAATCTATCGATATGGAACTAAAGGTTGTAGTCAATTTGGCTAATTTTTGAGACGTCGTTCTAAAGCCTATAGGCGTTTGTAAACTGGTGATGTAAACTGGCTAATATTCACTTGTCATTAGTATAATAAGTTTGTTTCATTGTATCACTTCTTTCATAGATAAAATATCTAGCAATAACTTACTGTAATTTTTAAGTGATATAAGCGTTTTCATAAAATTTACAGGGTACGCGTCACCTGTGAATTGTAGACTTTTCCTTTGTCACACACCTCTGTTTACTGTCTCTAATATGCATTTCTCCTACCTTCTCCTGCTTTGTGTGCTGCAAGGAGGGAGTGTGACAACTTGAACTGCCACACATATATGTGTCACACTCCCTCTGTTTTCGACATAGAATTCTATGTCGAAAACAGACAGACTTTTCATGATGGTTCTTTCTAGTGCTCATGAAACAGTGAGTAAGTAACTTAGGCATTTTTTGATTCCATATCGATTGAGGTGGTTAGGATTATGTTATGCATACATCAGTATGGATATAATGGAGAAGATTTTTGGCTCAGTTGGATGATTTCGATGTAATTGTGTTTGCTGAGCTGGATGGTTTATTTGCGAAGCTTTCATTGCACTACTGGGCAATATATTCGTCTGATTTTGCCTAGTAGATCAATAAAAGTTCTGTAAATAAATCATGTAGCTCAGGTAACACAACTACACCAAAATACCTGGGTATCTATTCGCTCAGCTAGCTGTTTTGAAGACTATCTAGGTTTGGATGCACAACCAATCCCAATAGTAGCAAAATCGGTCATTTTATTCTATTGTCACATTTCACATAATTGTCACTTATCTACTGCTTTGAAGAGTCGGCGTGAGGCGTGTTACACTACATGTTTATGTCCCTTTGAAATCTCTCATTCTTTTTTAAAATGACAAATTTCTTGTCAGTAAGCGATACAGGGTAACCTTTGCAACCTTTTTGCAACCTATGGAGATAAATTTAGTTGGTTTTACTTGTGATGCTTAACATCAGGATTGGTGTTTACTTTAAAGCATACTAATCTACTTATTTTATATTCTCAGATAGGACAAAAGTAAAGAATAGGTGCCACAGTTCAATGATCCTGAACTAGCCAGTCAAATCGTCCAGCATTACAAATGATGGCTACTCTTTATCCTAGTTACAAGTTTTACCCTGATTCAGGGTTAGGGTTAGAAAAGGATTAAGGTAAGGTTTTAGTTAGTGTCAGGGTGAAACTTGCAACAAAGATTTGGATTATGATAGAACTTGCAATTATAACTATAGGCAGTATCCATTTGAAATGCTGAACAATGTGACTACCGTCATTAGGTTATATTCATCATACAGTCAACCATTCATTAGAATTAGGGTATGCTTTAACTGCTTGCTACTCCTGCGGAAAAAATTAGAATTCTTTTTGCGGCATATTGTCCTTGTTATGCCTGTATATATATATATATATATATATATATATATATATATATATATGGTAGACATTTTTATACCGTAGATGACTTTTGCCCAGAAGTACATTGGTAGGCTGGCTCAAGGTCGTTTCCTCCAAATCCATTTTCATGTGAATATCCATAATTAAATCGCTGTCGATTCGAGTTTGACCATAGCGAAGTTATTCTGCCTAAGCATATAACTCGATATTTATTAATTCTTTACCTTTTTTCTCACACTTTTAGAATATTCATATGTTCAAATTCAAGTTTGGTGAGAATGTCCTACATACATGCACTCGTGGATACTCTAAAAAGGTGAAAGCAAGTAAGTGTAAAGTGAGCATTAACTGTATTTCTTTAGCCAAAGGTATTGCTGCTGTCGCTAAAGTTCGTGAAATTAAAGTGGAATCAGATCCCGAAAAAATTGTGAACTGTTGTTGCATTAACTATAGAATAGGTGAACAACCTATTCCATTGAAACCTGATAGGTAGTTATCTGTTGCTTTAAAAAAAAATTTATTGCACAACTTAGTGAATACCCAGAATGGCTGTGGAAATTAAGAGCAAACAGACGTCCTGTCCCTCTTAGTGAAGTCGACAAAAACTCTTATCAGTATTGGAGACGAATCAGAAAGATGAATCATGACCTAATAAATAATTTAGCTTCTGTAGACGGTTGGCATAGAAAAGACCATCGATCATTTGGAAATCAAGCTCTCCGGTTCTATGGTAACTTATACCTAGCTGTAAGTGATTGGTCTAATTCAAAAAAATTACTAGAAAATAAAAGTGGTTGAGAAGTACTTGTACTTGTTTTTTTACTTTTGTGACTAAAAATATACATTAGCAGTTAAATTTGTGGGGCTGTGGTTCTCATTGGTTTAGGCTAACAGTCACTGAACCGTGGGTTCAAAATCTACCTCAATCACTATGTTGTAGTCAATCAGGTGTTATGATTACCTCCTTTCAAATAGTGGGTTTAGGTCATTGCTAACTCCATGGCGACGCAAGTGATTATTGAATAAAACTTCATTTCATCACATCATTTGCGTTGTAATTAATCGTGTTATTGAAACGTGTTCACATGAATCTATAGCCCTTATATAAGTGAATAGTTTTAAAGCTGGGAATAATAAAAGAAGCATCGAGTGATGATTCTCCGCATGGAAGTCTGTAGCGTTCTATAAAATATCAATTTTTGTCTATGGTTTGTAAGGGTTAGTTTTGTTTTTACAAGTTGATCACAGATTGATATCAGTTAGAGAACCATTGAAAACCAGGGAGTACTGGACAGCTGCTGTTTCATCCTAGTTTGGGAATCATCGCCAGTACGCACCCACTGGGTTTCGAACCCAGGACCTTCCGGTTACAAGGCAAGCTCGTATAGCATTCAGCCACTGGGACCCGATTCAGTGGCTCATGAGTTCTAACTTCTACCAATTCATGATTTAGCGCGACCCCAACCAATGTCGTCGGTGGGACATCCATCCTCACACGTGACTGGATGGACCTCACTGGTCACGACTTCTCACTAGAACTCCAGGAAACTCCAACCTGTAGCAAGTAACTAGCGAGCATCAGGTTAATTTTCTATAGTTTGGTTTGTATGTTTTGTTTTTTGTGGCTGAATGGTATACGAGCTTGCCTTGTAACCGGAAGGCCCTGGGTTTGAACCCCAGTGGGTGCGTACTGCCGATGATTCCCAAACTAGGATGAAACAGCTGTCCAGTACTCCCTGGTTTTCAATGGTTCTCTAAATGATGTCAATCCGTGATCAACTCGTAAAAATAAATTTTTGTGATAATTTATTGCGTAGAAATAAATTTATGCAGAACTGTGTTTATTCACTTCAGTTTGTACAGTCTTATACGCGTTTTTGAATCTGCATGTAATGTTATATCACTTGGAATTTACTAGTTTTCAATAACTTATGCGACAAAAGATATTCACATTAAAACGCTATAAAATTGCTTGCTCACTTTACAGCTTGATATTTGTTTGTTTTCGGTCTTTCTACTTTGTACTCTCCTTATCGTGCGTTGAATCTAAATTCTATTGACTTGCTTAATGTCCAGTTATATTTGTTTCCTGTTTAAAAACCCGGGTGTATATGTCTAGTAAAAGTGATTGCTTCTACTTATCACTTTTGACATAGCTATCTTTTGTGGTAGTAGTAGTAGTGTAACGACAAGACAAGGATCAGGTGACAGATCGTTTATTGAGCAAACCAAGAGATATTTATAGATTTTTATGTACATTATTGTCAGTGGAGAAGCAACGTTTTCTGATTGGTTGTTTTCTTGCTGCAGATTATTCTGTGTACTGCTTTTGACCGTTTCTTAGAAAGTTAAGCCATATATCTGCTGTGGTTGGTTGGTGCGTTCCCCAACGTTAAGCTTTGTTATCGTTTTTTTCCCGTGACCCCAATTCGGGACGTAAACATTGACGTAAACTTTTGTCTACAATTTCGGCTTGCAGCTAGCTCTCACCACAGTAGTAGTGTAACAACAGAAGACAAGGGCCAGGAAACATCGTTTATTAAGGAAATCAACACATTTATAGATTTTCATGTACATATTATAGATTATTGTTAGCAGAAAAACACAGTTCTCTGATTGGTTGTTTCTCACAGAAAGTTAACCTTGGATCTCTTTGTGAATGTTTCTTGAATATCAGGTCATCTATATGTTAACTGTATCCGCCTACGCAAAGCCTTTGTTCTCATTTTTCTCACAACCAATATTGTGGACATAAACATTGACGTAAATTACTGTCCATCAATTTTGGCTAACAGCCAGCTCTCACCACAGTAGTACTATCCAAGTCAGTCAATATAGCTCTTGGGGCAGTTAGAAATTAAGTCAAGCTTTCTTCTCAACTCAGTAATAGGACTACATTAGGTCACTCGAAGAAATCACTTTAAGCATATTAGTTATGGCTACAGGTCTTAATTGTTTTTGGATGATATAAACAAGCAGATACAGTGGTGGGATCTGTGATATATCCCATCACAGATGCAAATATATTTGTGGACACTTGGAAACTCATGAGTTCAAGAGCATTATGAATCGATCTTAGATGTTATAGGTACTTATTTATTCGTCGAAAATTGCGACTTCAACATATAGAAAATCAACATAAGTGATTCAGTGAAGAGATACCTTATAATGAATTTATTATCAAACTGTACAATCGTATATATATGGTTTTTTTAAAGAATTTATATCCGGTGAGGGAATTAAGTCAAAGGTGTGAATGCATAAAATAATAATAGTAGTATGAAATGCAATTAACATGCCTGTGATTATAATCATAATTAAGTGTCAAGTGGTAGAGCAATTAATAATGTCATATATAGAATAATTCATGGGATATGCAGATGTTGGAAGAGATTGCAAAGTTACAGAATACGTAGGCAAATAAAAACGTTGCATAACGTGATGTGAAATTCGATAACACAGAACACTACGAGAATTCTTTTTGATTTAGAATGACAAGTGGGATAAGTGAAATAATGCTGGAAACAGTTCAAAGTAAGAATAATAATGATAATAGTAACAATCGACGTAATAACCGAAGAGTATACAAACTAAATGAACAAAACAAAATACGAATGGGGATTATCATACTTTAGAGCGTAAGCGGAGTAAGACCGTGACAGTTAGAGGGGTTGAAAAAAAATACTTTCTCTGGCTTTTCTATTACGATAGCCAAAGCCACTTTAGCAATACAGGTGAGTCGGATACGTGGTGGTTTGGGCAAGTTACTTTTCATCGCCCTGAAGATAACTTTAAAGGAAGAGGTTGTTGAGATACAGTGACCAGTATCAACCAGATGTTCAATTATTGCGCTTCTTATTGAGCCATTCCTACCTTTTCGTAACCATTCAGGATAGTCATCTTGCATAAAACCCAAGTCTAACAATCGATATAAGTACTTCACGTAAATCGATAAACGCACATAGAGTTGGTCAACTGCAGGATATTGAACAGTACTGATCCACTAGGAAACGCTATTCTCGACGGTGCTGCAGAATTTCCTTTTCAGGGACTGTGACTTCCTTCTTTTAAGGTTCTCGGTAGCTGAGTAACTTTTGAATTCAGGGTCCATGCACAGCATTTTCTGTGGTTACAGGCGGTAATTCGCATTTGAAAGGTCTAAAAAACGGTGGAAATCCACTTTCCATTAGGATTTTTTTAGAAGATTTAACTCTTCCTCCACATCATCAGAACTAGATATGCGGCGAATGCGAGTAGCAAGTGACCTGATTAGGTTTCGTTTTCGACAATTTGGTGGTACTCAGTTGTAGAAATTTTATCAGTTGACCATTCCATGATAGCTTTCTACAAACTAATCTCTTTAGAATTCCTTGATAAGTTCACATCGAGAAAATGAATGTTAGGCTCTTTCTGTATTTTTAGTGTAAATTCTATCTCTGGATGGCAAACATTAAATGCATTTATCATATTTTTCAAATAATTATCACGAATAATAAGTGTGTCATCTACATTACCTTTTATACATTTGGAATACTTGGATGGTTGACTTCAACTGACCATTTTCTAGACTGGACATAAAAAATCTGCAGTAAAAAGATGCAAAGGAGAATCCATTGCAATACCATCCTTTTGTCTGAAGTTTGTGTCACTGAAAGTAAATTATGTATTCATTGTGTATTTCGAAAGCAGTTCTTCCAAATATGTATTATTACTATTATTTTCTTTAATTCCTAGAGGAACATAGGGCCTCAGTCGTACGTCTCCACTGCGTTCGGTTCTCTGTTAGAGTTTTCACCTGGTTCCACATCTGCTCACATGCTTTAATCCCCTCTTTACATGACCTCCTCCAAGTCACCGTCGCACTGAAGCCCAACTCGCCGCTTCCCTTTCGAGTTCCACTCTAGCAATGGCTTGTCTAGTGATGTCACTTGGTGGTTTCCTCAGAGTATAGCCAATCCACCTCCATTTCTTCCTGATTATTTGTTTCACAATCGGTTCCTGGTTGGTTCGTTCATTGCCAGAGATCCCTGTTGCTGATCTTTTCTGGTCGGCCATCTGATCTTGAGTATAATTGAGCGAAGACAGCTGTTGATGAAGTTGTGTAGTTTGTTTGAGATGCTCTTTATGATGCGCCAAGTCTCTGATCCGTGTAGTAAGTAGCACTGACTTCACATTAGAGTTGAAAATCTGGGTCTTATTTTCATTTTCATGCTGAGTGCTGTTGACCTCCACACAGACTTCAGATTAATGAAAGCTTGTCTTGCTTTCCCGATCCTTGCTTTGATATGCTCGTCAATTCCGCTTGTAGTTGAAATGATGCTTCCCAGGTGGGTAGGTAGGTAAAGGAGATTGTTTCTTTCAGGTTCCTCTCATTTATGCTGATTGTTGTCTGTTGTTGCTGTTGGCCAGGAATCTCCATCACCTGTTTTCTCTATGTACATACGAACTTCTATCTTTGATGAGTTTTCTGCCAACTTGAGGTATGTAGTGAGTATTCCTATATTCAACTTGTTGTCCTCAACATATTTGCATATAAAACTTATGATTTCTGTCGATGGAACATTTGTAAGTAGAGATTCTACATCCAAAGACAACATTTATCTATTCGAAACATTCAACAAATTGGAAGGTGTCATGAAGGGAACGATGATATTGCAAAACACTATTGTACTGAGTTCAATAAATAAAGCATGATGAATGCAATAATGCTGGAGATTTTCAGCTATTGGTTTTGTAGGGGATTTCGATTGATTGGTTGGAGGATTTCATCATGAGCTGATATCAGTTAGAGAACCATT